AGAAGAAGAAGAAGAAGAAGAAGAAGAAGAAGAAGAAGAAGAAGAAGAAGAAGAAGAAGAAGAAGAAGAAGAAGAAGAAGAAGAAGAAATAGTATTCAAAGGTAGCTCCAAAGGAGACAAAGAGGTCTTGCTTTATTTTTATCTCGCCAGCCCTTATTTTATTTTTTTTTTTGTGGTACACATGCTTGTAATCCCAGTGCTGGGGAGGCTGAAAACAGGAGGATCATATGCATCCAAGCTGCGCAGTGAGACCCTGTATGAAATACATAAAAATAATAAAATAAAATAAAATGATAAATTTTAGATAGGGTCTCACTGAGTCCTTTAGTTGTCTGAGCTGGACTTGGACTTTCAGGCCTCCTGCCTCAGCACACTGGATCAGATGCACTTTCCACCATGCCTGCCTAAAAGTCTAGGTTTTTTTTAATATACATTTATTTTTTTATTGAGAAATAAATATGAATGAGACAGTTTCACAGCTGATTAATAGGACAGTTTTGATAGTCAATACACTGTACATTATTATCTTCTTAGTGGTTATCCATAGTACAAGAAGCAGACAGGACATTCTGTCCAAACACTGTTAGTACACCTCTTTCTTCTCATTGAATTAAGCAAAAGTAGCTGTAAATTTATCCTAACTATTTTGTATATATAAATACAAAATGATCTTTCCTTTGTATCCTTTTATTTATTTATTTTTGTCCTGTCAGAGGTGAATATTCTATTGGCATCTAAATACTATAGGTGTTTGAATTCAACTAAACATCTAACACTGTCTAGCAGTCTATAATATTAGTGGGTTATCCTCAGAAGTTATTGACTTGAGCCTTTTACAGCTCATCATATTATTATGGATTTACTTTATATACCTCATTTTTATACTTTTCTGCTGGATGGTTAAGACCAAGATATAGCAAGACCTATATACCCAGAAATGTAATTTTTGTATCTGATAAGGTCAGCCAAGTACTCTCAGGATTTATCCTGTCGCCCTGTACTGCCTTTTGTACATCCTTTTGTCAGTGTCTGACATGAGAATGAGTCACGGCCATTGCTTGACCAATTTGCTCTCTGTGAAAGCCTGAGAGAATGTTTTTTCTTTCCATGTGACTCTCCCCAGGCACACTGTACATCATTAATCACATTCCTCTGTGGCTCCATAATCTCCTTGATCAGAAAATTTGGAGCACAACTGAGTTACATGTCGTTACAGTACAGGTTCTCCTATGTCCCGAATCTTCACTGACCTTGAAAGGCGAGGGCCAAAATGTTGGCTGACCTTGCAGCCCTTCCTTTTCTCCAATTTTGATCTGCTAACTTAGGTTGTCAACCCTCCAGAAGAGAAGCTAATTATTAACCTGCAATATATGCAGTTCGGTTTACCTTATCTGTCGAAATAGCAAACATTTTGGCATATCCTGAAACAGGTATTTTCCATCAGATATTGATATGTTGAACTTTAAGTCCTTACAGAATAAGAAGGAAAAATAATTATATAAAAGTAGAAACAAGCATTTACATATTTTTACAAAGAAATTTAGAAACCTAACCGGGGGGGATTCTTTTTGGTACAGGGTCTTCTATGCTGTTCAGGCTGGTCTTGAGCTCACTTTGTAGCCCAAGTTGGTCTCTAATCCTCCTGCCTCAGCCTCCTGAGAGCTGGGATTATAGGCATGCATTTGACTTAAAATCCTAGTTTTCAAAGCTCCATTTGATCTTCTGCCTTACTTCACAGCAGCATTCCTGAGCCACGGAATCAGCCTAGCTGTCCAGCATCAGATGGACGGCTAGAGAGAAGGTGCTATGTCATGTGGTGCAGCCAGCCACAAAGAAGAGCAGGGTCCTGTCACCTGCAGGAAGATGGATAGAGCTGGCGATCCCTCCGACTGCGGATATAGGTAGAGGAAGACGGACTCAGAAAGACCGCGATCCCACTTTCTCTCCCAGGAGGAATCCAAGACATAAAGATGACTAGGAAAGGCCGACGAGCTGGAGGAGAGGGACCAGGAGAGGTGACCAAGTGCTGGCTGCAGTCAAAGAACACCCCATGCCTGCTTGAGTGTGTCCCAGTGAAACCCGCTACTTTTGTACACTTAATATGAGCCCAGTACAGCAATTAACCACTATGAAGAATATATGCAGTGTGTTATTTGTTGAAACTATACTTCCGATTTGATTTGAAACTGTCTCATTGATGTTTATCAATAAAATTTTGGAAAAAAAGAAAGAAAGAAAAATATGAGCCCATAATAATCAAGAAACACTCTTCCAGCCCATAATAATCGAAAAACAGTAGGAAGTCCCAGTCCTGGCTTCTTCACCAACTTGCTCTGGGAACTTGGATTTTGCTCGAAGCTTCAGTTTGCTCATCTGAAAATTAGGGCAAAGCTCAGTTTGTAGTCCAGGCTGCTCTGGAACTCACTTTGTAGCCCACGCTGGCCTCCAACTCTCGAGGATCCTCCTGCCTCAGCCTCTTGAGTTCTGGGATTATAGCCCCCCGCCTCCATGCCCGGCTCTCACTTTCTACGAACTGTACTGTTAATTTCTCTTTCGAAATTCACCTGGCCCAGCGTGTGGAAAAATTTACGCTCCCTCCCAGCCCCTTGTCTTCGCAGGTTTCCGCCCTCTTTCTCGGGAACAGCTGGCTGGGGCTCCGGCCGCCCCGCCCCGCACATCTGGAAGCGCAGGCAGCCTCCCCCACGCGCAGAGCCCAGCGGACGCAGTCCACGCAGGCGGGACGGGCCTCGGACTCGCCGGCCGGGACCTCCATGGGGCCGTAGGAGCAGCCAGGCAGCAGCGACGCCCGTCCCCTGCCCGCCGCCGAGAGCCGGCCGCCGCTGCTGCATCAGGTAACCGGCCGGCTCGCTCGCTGGCTCGCTGGCTCGCTGGCTCGCTGGCTCGCGGGCCTGCTAGGACCGAGGAAGCAGGCCAGAAAGCGCAGGCTGCGCGCGTCCGAGTCCCCCCTCCCCCTCCCTCCCCCGCCCCAACTTTTTTGCCAACGCAGCAAATCCAAGATGTAAGGTTTTCGCCTCCAGAACAACTTCTGCAGGTCTGGGTTTATCCCCCCTCCTTCCCCCTTCAAAACTGTGATGTATGATTTGCTCCAGATTTTAAGCCCGGGCGCCGGCGGTTAGAGAGAACATGCGTTGGACGCAGGTATGTTTCTGAGCCGCAGACGCCTCCGGTCCTGAGTCATGTTTTGGGAATCTATCTGGAAAGCTGCGGAGGGTTTCCGTGCCCGCCACAGGGGCTGGCAAGCCTGTGTGAGGCCCACTGTAAGCACAGGCGGACAGCGTTCGGGTCGAAATGCTTCTTTTATATGCTGGGGATTGGACTCGGGGCCTTCGTATGGATGAGCTACATCTCCAGACCTCTTCTAAAAAAAACCCAACTTCTGTACACGGGGTCTCCCTAAGTCATGCAGTTGCCCCGGTGTTGCTCACACTGTGATCCTCCTGCCTCGGCCTCCCACACGGCTGGGCCGCCAAGTGTGCACCACCACGCCAGCCTGTGTTTCAGTCCTCAGAAAATGTCTTCCGCTCACTTTATCAACAACTGTCACACCTTGGATGAGCCTGGTGTGTACATTTGCGACACAGGGTAGGAAGTGACAGTGAACACGGGGAGAGAACGTGACGTTGCCTCAACATCTGGAGGTGCCCTGGGCGGATCGCCACACTGTTGAGCCCTCACAGCCAGGTCCCCAAGGCAGGGAAGGCAGTGTAGCTGTGGCTGTCTTCCCTTTCCTCTCCAACCTTGGTGTCACTCTCCCGGGCACCCTCCTTTCGATCACAGGGTGGATTCCAGTCCTCCCTCTGGCCCTGCTGCGCACTGCCTCGAGGAGACAAAGGCCCTGGGGTCTGACGCAGGCTGAGTACCAGCTTGGGAACTTGCACGTGCCTCTCCTTCTCCCTCTGTAAGATGGGAATAAAAAGGCATCGCTGTGATAAAAACCAATCAGCTTTGGCAATGCTGATGATGGCAGTGGTGATGACAAGAGTGACCACACATCCTGCCCTTAGAGATGGCCATCTTTCCCCACTGCCTCCTGGACCATCCAGTCTTTGAAGTGCAGGACATTGCTCTGGGGCCTGCTTCCTCTCCTGGTTCCAGCATCTTTCTCCCTCCCTCCCCTATCTCTCTCCCTCCCTCCCTCCTCCCTTCTCTCTCTCTCCCTCCCTCCCTCCCTCCCTTCTTCCTTCCTTCCTTCTTCCTTCCTCCCTCCCTCCCTCCCTCCCTCCCTCCTTCCTTCCTTCCTTCCTTCCTTCCTTCCTTCCTTCCTTCCTTTCTTGGACAGGATCACACTATGTAGTCCCAGCTGGCTTGAATTTGCTAAACTGCTGATAATCCTCCTGCCTGTCAAGCGCTGGGATTACAGCAGACACCTCTCCCCCACCCCTCTGTTCATGGAGCCTCATGGCATTCGTTTGTACTGCCCAAGAAACATGGTTCTCTATATGCCTCTTCACTGCAACATTTTCCAAAGAATGTTCCAAAGAACATGTCCCACAGGGAAGGCAGCTCTGGAACTTTATCACTTTATCTGAGACCTCAGGCATGAAAGAATGCCACATGGCGGGCATCTGTGTGCATCGCCTGGAGCTCGGGGCTGTCCTCGCCTTTCCCCTCCGTTGACACCTACTTTGTGCCCTCCCTGTCAATAGCTGTGGGGTACTCGGGCTTCCTTCCCTGGTGCTGGGTCTGGAAGCATTTTGTCCTCAGAAGTTTACAGTTCACAGGGTGACCTGGTCCTCAGGGGAGCCATGCTGGGAGAGGGGGGAGCCTCGGGGAGGTGGTTGCATCATTGAGTGGGGACCTTGTCCTGTGACAGGGCTGGTGACATTCCCATTGGTGTGCACAGCCTGTCCTACTGAAGTCATTCAACAGCACCTTTGGGGGGGGCCCATCCTTCCCCTTCCTGTTTGGTCCCCAGGTGTGATTGCTGACATCGATATGCAGTTTGGTTGGCTTGGCAGCAGCCTTGGGGCACTGGTAAAGCTTGCTGAGTCTCTGGGTGGCCAAGGAGGCATGGCCCTGGGTCTGTCTGGTCCCTCACCCTGCCTGTCTGGCACTGTTCGCCTGCTCTGCTTCCTGATGACCAGAAACTGAACAGCATGCTCCCCACACCTGTCCGCCATGCGTGCTGCTCCTGCCTGAGCCAGCTGACTGTGGACTGCGCCCCCTGAAGCATGTCCTCTTTTATGTCCTGGGCGGCTGCTAGTGTGTCCCAGCAGTGGGAAAGTGACTAGCACACCAGGTACTTTCCCTGTCCTTCCCTACCTGTACCCACGGCAGATATGATTAATCGATGAAAGCACATCCCCTCCTCCCTGAGTCAGGCAGTGGCCATGGGTATTTCCTCAGCCTTGCCGCCCTGAAAGCCCCTACCAACGGATCAGAGTTACAATGTAAAATGTTGCTCTCGGGGACTCCGATTTTTGAGTATGTTTTAGATATATCCTTCCCACTTTTGCCTCGCACTAATCCCTTGACAGCCAGTTCTCAAAAGCTTTTTCTTTCCAGAATGACCATGGCCGAGCTGGTACCCGGTGGGGCAGCTCCCCGTGCAAGTCCTTCCACGGGCGACTTTAGCTGCGCCACCCTCGTCCGAGGCTCCTTTCCCTCCACTGTACCAGCCCCAGCTGCCCCCAGCCAGGGCCTGGGATGGGGATTCCACTGCCCAGCACTGGCTCCGTAGGGTGGACCTTCTGCTGTCGCAGGAGAGGCCTGGCCGGAGAGTGTCCCTCGGCTTGGGAGCTCCCTGAGGCTTGTTCTGGCTCCCATCAGAGCCCTGTACTTCTGTCCCTGCAATGTGACCATCCATTTTTCTCTTTTCTCTTCCTTCTTCCTGGAAGTTTGGCAGACCCCTTTTTCCTTGGGAAAAAAGAGCCAAGTCTGGGCTACATGGTGAGTACAAGTGAAGCCTTGTCTCAAAACTCAGTGAACAAAAGAGGAAGACTGCCCTGCCTCTAGAGCTTGCCTAGCCAACAGCAAGCCAGGGTGACAGGGGTGGCGCTCGGCATGGTGGCGATTGCTGGAAAGCTGGCATCTGTGCCTCTTGGCAGGGGCCACGGCTTTCAGCTCGGGGTCTGAGGGAAGCAAGGGTGGGGGAGAAAGGCCCTGGATATCCTAGAAGGGCTCTGCCCATCAAGCGACCACAGTGGAAAGGCTCTGCGGCTGGAGTCTGCATGCAGGGAAGCCTGGGCACTGTGTGAGATCTGGGGCGAGGCCCTTGTCTCCAGCCTGCGATGGGAAGGCTGTGAAACGCGGAGCAGAGGAGCCCAGGATCCGGCTCCCAGTGGTTGCTTGGGGAGGAAGGCAACCATCAGATGCAGCAAATGTGATCGACAGATGATGGAGGTGGGGCCAGGTGGAGGCCCTGGGGCTGGGGGGACATCCCGGATTATTCGGAGAGGAGGGTGGACAGAAGGTGGTGTTGGTCCACAGTGGGGAGTGAGAAACAGAAAGGTCAGGGATGACACCAGGCTCGTTGCTTTCTGGAGAAATGAGGTAAATGGATTTTCTGGGCTGGGATGGAGTCGGGAAAGGGATAGAAGGAGCATACGGGGCGGGGGTGGGGTGGGCATCAGGAGCTCAGTGTAGACCTGGGACAAGCTCTGTAAGGAGAAGCCTTCAAGTGGAGACACCAAGTAGCTGGTTGGGGTCTCTGAGAGGTCTGGCCTGGGGACACAAATGTGGATGTGATCAGTGTCTGAGTGGTGTTTACAGCTGTGAGGTAATATAAGATTTCCTCAGGAGGAGTTTAGAGAAAAAGGGAAGAAATCAAATAGTGTATGCCAAGAGGCTTTGGCCTTTAGAAGTTCTGGAAGTGAGAGATAGAGACTGTACTAGCAAGATGGCTTAGAGGCTCAAGGGTACAGAGGTCTAAATCTTCCATCTGAGAAGAAAGGCTTAACCCTGCTTAAGAAAAGACACTTAGTGAATTCATTCCCCTTAATTCATTTCACTGTGCTCAGCCATTCAGGAATTCAGAAGCCTCTGCATCCATGGTGTGAGGGGGCCTGACTGCTGCTTGAGTAGGTTATAAACCTTGGGAGAGTCAGTGTGATGCTGACATGCAGTCACACAGAATGCAAGAATTATGGAAACATGGAGACTTTATCCACATTTCAAAGGAAGGGCTGAAAGCCAGACAAAAGTGGCAAGATTGGGGTCCTTGCTGGGAGGCCCTGAGAGAGCAATACATGAAGGCGTGGGAGGAAACCAAAGCTGCAGTGGAGACCCTGGGGAGCTGGAGGCACCTTGAAGATAGAAGTCCACTGAGGAAGGCTGCAGGCGGCAAGGAGAGCCAGCCCAAGAGAGGACCATGGGGGCTGCACCCAGCAGGGCCATGAGGCGGGGCCTCCTGAGCCTCGGGAGCTCGCTCCATGCCACCACAGGCCTCAGATGGCAGACACACAGCTATAGGGTGTGATGTTTGCCTTGCTGGGTTTTGGTCCTATTCTGTTCTGTACCCTGGCTCTTCCTGTTTGGAGTGAGATGTTTGTCCCATGCCACTGAATCGGTGGCTTGTAACGTGCTTGTGGAACCTCACAGGGCTTCACAGCTAAGGTTTGTCCTTCAGTCTTAAAGTAGACTTTGCACATGGATTCTGAGTGGTGCTGGAACTGTCAGGACTTTGGGGAAGGGATTAGTGCAGTGTGGGTTGTGCTTGGGATAGCCCCAGAATGGTAGGGAGGACTATGACTTGGCTATTGTGTTTCTCTGGAGATTGAATATGGTTTAATGAGATATAGTCGGGTGTCAGGTTGACAAGGGTGCACCGTGCCAGTTAATCTGTATTGTAAATTAATTGCTTTAGGGGACCCCTGCAGAGGTGGTTGGACTC